GGGGGAAGGAGCCGGCCCGCCTCCCCCGCGCCCTGGCCCCGCCGCTGAACGGGGGAAGGCGGCCGGGCGGAGCCCCGGTGCCGCCAGCACGGACGGCGGGGCCAGCCCCGCGACGGCCGCCTCCTCCCGGGGCAGCCCGGTGTTACCGGTGTCCCCGTCCCCGTCGGACACGGCTTTCAGGGGCTGCTCGCCCGGGACCCGGGCTATACCCGTTGCCCAACGAGGGTCTTACGGCAGCAGGTACTGGTGACACAAACACCCGTCATTCTCCTGGCACCACCAGAACGTTTCTTTGCCTTCACCTCCGTGGCATCTCACCATGCCCCTGCACCTGATGGTTCCCCTTCGACAGACTTTTAAATCTCTGCACTGGCTGCTAGCGCTTACCAGCCAAATTATCATCAAGAATATCATCAAAACCAAATGATAAAAGAGACTGGTTTTTGCCAGATTAGACTCCAGCATACCTCTGGAGCCATTAAAAACCTGAAACTACTTTATTCCCAGTACAGCAGCTTGTTAAGAAACACGATCCAGCTGGCTATACTGCCTCTCTACAAAATTACTCTGAATTTTCTGCTTACTTTCAAATGCAAGAAGCTTAAAGTGATTAGAACCGCTCCTGTGAATTATTTAGCTATTCAGTAGGAAGCTAAAGGCTTTACTGTAACTTTTTATCAAACAGACTTGCTCTAAAATATTGATCACAACAGATGTTACACCTTGCTGAATATTGAACTGGGATTTACAAAACCCACCCACTCATTTTTTGCAACTGATTATGCTATTGTACTAACAGTGAGTATGGGCAGAGTGTTCCCACTCCAGGGAGACTGCAGCAAAGATAACTCTAGAAAAAGAGAAAATAATAGCATAGGACAGGCTAACACCTTCATAATGTGCAATGCTGGAGGCATGGGAGCAGAGGAGACCTGGCACCACACCAGCTCAGGGACAGCATGGCAAAATGTTCAAAAAAGATAAGAAATAAAAGGAACTTTTGCTTCTTTGTATGTCCATAGATGTCTGTAGCAAAGGACAAGAGTCTCATTCTCTTGGCAGTGGTCAGATACTGTCACCTTGGAAATCGCACAGGTAACAAATCCTGCAGCAGACAAGAGGCAAAAAGGCCAGGAGAGGAAAGAGATGAGCACTAGAAATAAGAGGCTACGGTGTCTAGGAACCAGGAATTTAACGATACCAGGTGTTAATTCTTGCCTCTGCCAATGAGTCACTCACTTTGTGACCATGGGTAAGTCATTTAATCAACGTATGTCTCATTCTTGATCTAGAACAGGAAGAACATTCAAAAAAAGGCTGCATTACTCAGCCAGTTAGTCAACACAAACCAGAGGCCTGTGGAGCTCTTGCACAATTAGCTGAGGGGCAGCAACAGAGAATGCTTCCCAGGTGCTTCTGTTTCCAGCACTGATGCTGCCACCTTCCAAGTCTCCCTGCCAATAATTGTTGGGGTAGGAGGAACACATTCACATTATTCTGAGGCACAGAAAACTGACTGAATGAAAATTAGCTTTAGAAAGCAATGCATCCACATAAAGACTGCTATTTTGACTGACCCTGTGCTGTTAGGAAAACTGGATCTGGGTCCAGACATCTCAGTAGGGTTCACATTTAATGCACCCCCATCTAAAGTTCTTGGGGGCAAACTTTGTTGCTCATCTCCCATCCCTGGTCTGAAAGCAGAAGTTCCCTCTTCTGGTTTGACATAGCCCTAGAGGACTTTTTAGCGTTTGGGTTTTTGGGTTTTTTCCCCTTAAAGGCTCCAAAGATGGTAATGTTAAAGGAAGACATGGCCTAATCCATGCTGGACATCAGCCCAGCAACAGTTTTCTTTCAAGGCAGTTGTCGAGCCCAAAATGGGACTGTTGGCCCTATGAGGAATATTGGAGCCACGCAAGTGTGCTTTACAGAAAGGAAATATGGCTAGTCCATCTTACAAGGAGAGGTTCAGGAACAGAACAGCTTGCAGGGCTGTCCTTGGCAATGGAGATTGTGCCTTCCAGCCTACAGGGAACATCACTAGGGCAGGTGGAAATAAAGCTTTATCTGCTTTCCTGGCTGGCCACGCAGGGTTCCTGCCCTCTCTCACTCATTTTCCTTTGCTTAATTAAGTTGCACTGTGCTGGAGCTGCCACTGACCCAGTTCCCAGAGGCCCTTAGACTCCCTTCGTTAACTCTGAGAGGTGGGAGGATGTCGTAAATGGAATGTCCCTTCCAAGGGACAAAGGGAATCTTACTCTCACTTTCATTCCAGATAGTTAATCAGTGTTCCTGCCTGCACCATAGGCTGATCCACCCATCTGTGGAATGGGGAACGCTGTCCAATGCCAGCCTCTTCTTAAGCTTTGTTTTGCCATAACTTTCATACACACATACACACACACAAAAATAAAAAAAAAAAAATTATGTAGCCTGGATCGGATTTACCAGGTTTTTAAATAGGATTCACCCTATTCCCAAGTGTTCACCCTTTTGCTTCAATGCCCCTATCACCTGATAATTTCTATATACATTGCAAATGCATTAGGATAGCAGTCTTTTCTTTGTTCTGTGTTTGTACAGCCCCTTGCACTATGTATCCCTTGTGCAGGACTTGGATTCTTGTGCATTCCAGCAATAAGTAAACTAACAGAGCTTTAGAGCTAACAGTATTCAGGGAAAAAAAAAATAAAATAAAAGGAGGTTCTGGCTTACAGCATCTGATTTTACTTTCCATTGTCACAGCCAAGTCTGTAAAAGCATAGAAGGAAAGTAGCCAACCAAGTGATCTGATCTGATTTCTTGGAGCTGATTTCTACAGATATGTGAAGGCCACAGGAGAGCTGGCTGCCAGCTCATTCAAACCCTTCTCCAAGGCTATCACAAGGGATGCTCTGCTGGTTCATTATATTTCAGCAAGAAGCACCACCAGTTCACATGAGTTTTCCAGAACATGACGCAAATCAACAGCAATGGCAACAATACTTGTCAAAAAGAAAGCAAAGGTCAGTACTTCCACCTACGCTTTTGCTGCTGTGAACAGGTACTAACTTGAAAATCCATTTCTGCAGCAAAGTCTATTCTGTGGTCTGCTGCCTTTCCTATCTCACACACAGAGCATCCTTTTCCAGGCTTTGCTGGTGAGAGTTTTAGCACACAGACTATGTCCTGCTAGGCACAGAGGAGCACAGGCGGAATTCCAGGTTGCATGTAGCAGCTTTGTTCTCAGCTTTTAAATAGCAACAGGAAAGCAGAGAAACCCTTAGAAACTTTAATGTTTTCAAAGAAAAGCTGGGGCAAATGATCAAGCTTCCTACAACTAACTAATCAGATAGAAGGAGCAAAACTCCCAAACCAGGAAACCCAGCGAGAGGCGGAGACCTTTTGGGATAGCTGATAATCAGGGACTTTGCTCTAACCACAGATAGCACATGTATGAATCAAAACTGGATGCCAACTCCGGTCACCTCTCCACCCTTTGGAAGCTGAGCTCCTAACTTATAATTATGTAAAAACTTTCCATCCCTTTCTTCCTGTCCCATCATCCTGTTTCTGGGGATTTTTCCCTTCATTAAATGATGCTTCAGCATCCTCTGAAGCGGGCTGTTTCATTTTCAACAGTATTTACAACTCAGACACAAGCCCTACATTCCCTCTTACTCCTCTCAGGCTGCTGCTCTGGCAGCATTTGCCCTGCCTGCCTGAACTGGTGACAAAGTGCAGCAGAGGACCACCAACACGAATCCAAAGAGAGACTGAACTGCCCCACGCTATTCTTAACTGACTCTCCCTTTCAAACTGTCCATTACGCTTGTGCCTGACTGATCAGGCAGAATAGGGGCAAGCTGGCCTCACGCCAAGGCCAAAGCAACTGCTGTGGTTTTGTGCTCACAGCACTTATCTGATTCTGTAGTTCACCGAATATTTTCCTGTCCCAGATCCTTCCCTCAGCGTGTGGCAGATAGGGAAAAAAACCTCCAGCTCAGCAAAAGCAAGGATCACATGCAAGAAACACCTGGCTGTCTCTGAGGATTTAGCCTGCCTGGCTAGTCCATTGTAGCCATTCGCCTAAGATTTTACTGTCTGTTTCATTCATAATTATTAACTCCCTTCCCCATGCCCTGGCAGTAGGAAGTCTTCAAAGCATCTCAGCCCTTCACCCCATCCTAGGCCCTGAGGATGCTGCTGTCCTAGTCCTGCTCTAGCTCTCAACAAATGAGCTCAGTGAACACAGTGCTTTCTGCAGACAGGTCAAAGATGTCCTTTGCACAATCTAGTGCAAGTGTCTCCTCTTACTCCTTCTCAGAGCTGACCTAACTGTACCAGAGCAGAAACTGGGATTCAAGCTCA